TAGAGCCCAGCCTGGGGAGAGGGAGAGGGGCGTGGCAGCGCGGCTGGGGCAGGGGATGGGGCACGTGCCCCATGGCCCGGGTGAAGGGCCGGGGGCTGCAGGGCGAGGGCTGGGGGGACATGCACAGTGGCTGGGGGCAGGGGCAGGAGATGAGCTGCGTCTGTGCAGGGGACAGGGAGGTTTGGAGCATGGCTTGGTGCGAGGGACAGGCAGAGATGGGCCAGGGCTCCCTGCAGGCGACGGGGGGAATGTGCACCATGGCTCGCTGCAGGTGACACCGGACACCTGCTCCATGGCTCAGTGCAAGGGCTGGGGGGACATGCGGCTCAGTGGCTCAGTGCAGGGGACACAGGGGATGTGCACCAGGGTTTGGTGCAAGAGATGTTGGGGTGTTCACCAGGGCTCAGGGCAGGGGACACAGGGGATGTGCACCACAGCTCAGTTCAAGAGGGGGGGGGATGTTCACCAGGGCTCATCAGTGCAGGGGACAAGGGACGTGTCACGGTGCTCAGTGCAAGGGAAGGGTGACACGTACCATGACACAGCACATGGGACGTGTGGCTCGTGCAGGGCTGGGGCTGAGCCTCCTGTCTTCCTGTGGCCCCACGCAGCCACGGGTGCTGCTCTCCCTGGGGAAGGACCCAGAGTGCAGCGCAGCCACGGGCAGGAGCCCTTCACAGGGACGACGTTGTGGAGTCCACCACCTCACGGCCGTTACACACTGTGGGCACGAACTGCGAGGCTGAGCCTGGCCAGGAAAGCAGGACTCAGGGGCAGTTCATATTCCAGCAACAGCCCCCCCACAACCCAGGGCATCCCAGTGCAGTGGGTGATGGGATCTGAGGAGCCACAGCCCCACTCAGGGCTGGGGTGGAGTGTGCCCAGGGTGGCCACGTCCCCTCTGGGTTGGTGACATGGGAGCTACATGTCTTGGGGCTGGGGTGGAGGGTGCTTAGGGTGACTGTGTCCCCCTGAGGTGATCACGGTGCCCCCACTGCCCTGCCAGGAAGCAGGTGCTGCCCCCCAACCCACCCCCAGCTCTCCACACTCACCGTGGGACTGGCTGGATCCAGCAGCTGCCACACTGAACCGAGCAGTGCCCACACGGTGGCTGGCCACGTTCTTCTGGGGCTGGAAGAGTATGATGTGAAGTTTGGGGGTGAAGAGGCAGCCAAGGACCACGGTGCCACTGAGGCTCACTGAGATGCACATGGTGGTTGTCTGGACCTGCAGACAGGGGTGGGCATCAGGTGGTGCTGCTGCTACCAGCCCTCTGCCCCCAGAGTGGCAGGGGGAAGCCCTCCCTGTGGCACCAGGCAGAGGCTGCTTCCTGCATCCCACAGGCACGTCCTGCCCTGCACCAGCTCCTTCCATCAGGGTGGAACTGCTGGAGACCCCTGGGCAGAGGACAGGCACTGCCCTGATGGGCACAGTCTGTTCCTGCAAAGGGGGTGCACCCTGAGCAGCTCCCCCATCCCACCCATCACCCCTCACCCCAGCACCTCCTCCCACCAGGGGATGCAGGTCCTCCCCAGAAGCCCCCAACTGCAGCCACCCCCACACAGTTCTGGCAAGAACATTACTGGGCACCTTGCCAGCAGTGGGGCTCAAGGTGCTGCAGGATGTGTCTCGTGCTACCCCATTCCTGGCACTGCCCAGTTCCCCAGGGACCAAAGCTGGACTTGGCCTTGGCATTCATGCCCAGAGGAAAACACATACACACACACACGTCCCATGCCTTCATGTCATGAGGCTAAAAAATAGCAATCACCCCTCCACAGCCAGGTCAGGGGTGCCTCTAGAGGTCTCAGGCAGCAAACAGAGTACCAAGGGGGATGTCTTCTCCTCAGGACTCATTTCCCCCTCAGCCACAGTCCTTCAGCCACAGTTCACCCAGTAACAAATGCCCCAATGCAAAAGTGACCATCACCATGCCCATGGCTGAAGACCCTTCCCTAGGCTATGCATCTCCTAGCCACAAACCCTGTGGGGCCCAAATCATCAGGATTGCTCAGATCAAGTCCTGTTAGAGCCCCCCCCAAAACTCAGGCTCTTACTCGGTAGTCACTGGAAGTCACGTAGAAGATGGGCAGGAAGGCCAGCCAGATGATGCAGGTCGTGTACATGGTGAACCCGATGAACTTGGCCTCATTGAAGTTTTCAGGGCATTTCCGTGTCTTGAAGGCATAAACCGTGCAGAGGACAATCAAGAGCACATTGTAGGTGAGTGAAATCAGCATGTTGGAGTCGCGGTTGTTGCACTTGAGGGTGACAATGTACCTCTTGTCAGGCTCGGTCTCCTTGCCTGTGCCGGGGGTCTCCACCAGCAGCCAGATGATGACGATGATCAGCTGGCAAGAGATGAGGGCCATGCAAATGACCACCTGTGATGTGGGGCTTATGAACCGGGGGCGCTGGACCCCCTCCTTCACCCCGCTGAAGATCCTGGCAATGCGATTGGTCTTGGTCAAGAGGGCTGAATAGCAGACGGCAAAGGAGGTGCCCAGTCCCAGGCGCCGGAGCGTGCACACCCCGGTGGAAGGCTTGGCAATGAAGATGAAGGTCATGCTGTAGCACATGAGGACCCCGGTCAGGAGAATGTAGCAGAGTTCCCGGCCGGAGGCCTTCACGATGGGGGTGTCATTGTTCTTCACAAAGACTCCAAAAACAAAGAGGGTGGAGATAAAACCCAGGCAAGAGATAGTGACAGGACCAATGGCCCAGACGTCCTTCCAGCGGATGTACTCTTGGGGCAACTCGTAGCAGCCATTCAGGGTCTCATTGGGCCAGTAACCGAGACCACAGTCCATGCAGGTGAACTCATCCAGCAAGTACTCGTAGGGCTGGCAGGGGATGCAGAGCCAGCAGCAAATGTCTCCGGGCTGCATGCTCTTGATCTCGTTCTTCTTGCAGGGGTCACTGCACTGGGACACAGGGATGAAGGTCTCGGCCCATGGGATGAGGCTGGTGTTGAGGATGAGCCCCTCAGCCCAGTAGCCCACCTTCTGATACCGATACCGCCCGCCCATGCGGTGATAGTTGAAGATGTTGTAGCGCCCGATCCCATCGCCGTAGCGGTCAAATCGAACCACGCTGTTGGTGTCTGCTGGCCTGAAGGGAGCTGGAGGGAGAAGGGGAGATGGTGACTGCCTTGGAGCAGGAGAACTCTCGGTCCCAGTGTGGAGGCAGGGCTCCTTCAGAGGGTGACATCCCACCAGGATCACAGGCAAAAGTCCAACCTGTTCCCCACCTTCTCTCTCATCATTGCTGCCAATGCACTCATTAGGAGCAGGAAAGCAATGATGGAGAACTATCTTCCCTGCGTGCTTAAGGGCTCAGCAACCCCAGGCAGCTCTGCAGGGACCAAGAGGGGGGTTTTGCAGCTTCCGTGGCTCTGAAGGACACCTGAGTAGCTGCACTCAGTCCAAGTCATAGTGAACACACTTCTAATTAATCCCCAAATATGTAGGTGTCTGATCAAGTTTCCCCAAATTTAATCCCCAAAATGTGAATAAATCACAGCACCTGCAAGTGAGGTCTCCAAGGACCCATGTTGGGGCTGGTCCCACTCAGCTTTAGCAGAATGGAGTTGGTCACCAACTTCTCCACAGTGGGCACAGAAGGCCTGGATTCCCTTCTAACGGTGACAGTGGGTTGTTGTCATCCTGGGACACCCACAGCCCACGGCACAGGGAACCCTAGGTGTGGGCAGGATGGAGGAACTGGAGGACTTTGGGTCAAATATGGGTCTCCCTCCTCCCTTTCCCTCCATTCAACCCTTTCCAGTTAGGAAGTCAAACTCCCATCTCCATCTGTGGACTCACCGTCAAAATTAACGTTGAGTATAAAGTCTTTGTAGAACCTCTTGCCATTGACAGGCTTCATGGCTTCACAGAGCTTGGTGGAGTTGGGACACAGTGCCTGGTGCATGTTGTGGAGAGAGTGAGCCATGGCATAGACTGCATTGACCACAAACGTGATCTTGGACTCTGGCTCAAACTTGCCTGTCTTGAGGGAATAATGACTACAGTCCTGCGTGTGGAGGCTGCACTTGAACTTCTGCTCCCAAAACTCCCGAAACCAGGGATTTCGGCTGTTATTGTAGGGATGGAGGTTAAGGAAGTAGGTAGCAAACTCCTTGATGGGGTAGGCTGCCAGCTCGATAGTGATTGCTCCCTCTGCCACCGCTTCACTCCCAGCCACCACGCTCTCCAGGGCTCCCCAGCCATCGCTGGCCACCCACATGAAGGACACGTTGGCTCTCTGGGCAGCTGCCAGCAGCTCCCGGGCATCTTCACTTCGTGTGAACATCACAACGACCCTGGCATTGGGCTTCTGCAGCAGAGCCCTGACCACCCCGTCATAGGTCTTCTTGTTCATGGAGCGCCCCACCTTCTCTGAGGTGGCAATGCAGATGTTGCGCATGCGGGCTTCTTGCTCAAAGGCCTCAATCCCTGTCTCCCCATAGTCACCCTCTGAGGCCACCGTGGAGACGTAGGTCCAGTTGAAGAAGCGGAGGATCTCTGCCATGGCTTTGGCTTGGTAGAAGTCTGGCGGGACAGTGCGAGCAAAGTAGTCGTAGCGGGACTTGTCACTGAGCTTGGCACTGGTGGAGGCATAGCTGATCTGCGGGATCTGGAAGAGCCTCAGCAGGTTGGCCACCTGGGTGGAGGAGGAGAGGTGAGCACCCAAAGATGTGCCCCAGGGAGGGATAACCCTACTGGAGCACTCAAATTGCTGCATGGTGAGGTACAAGCATGACTGTGGGGCTGCTGAGCAACGGCCCCAACCCCAAGGGGTGGTGGGACAGATGGATGGATGGATGGATGGATGGATGGATGGATGGATGGATGGAACTACAACTGACTCACATGGTTGCCGAAGCCCTCAGACATGTGCATTTCTCTCATTATTTTAATATTTCATGCATTTCCCCTCTGAAATTTAGGGCTGAGGGGCAGGTAAATGGATTTGTGGCAAAAGCAGAAACTCCCCTGTGGGTGACCTGTGGTTGATGCTCACGGGCAAGGAGAATGCTGGGGCACCTAGCAGCCCCATGGTGTGGGAGGAGAGGGCTGGGGGGCCAGGGCAGAGCCCCCCACCCAGCCCAGGGCAGCTGCTGGGCCTGGGGACCAGCACCTGCTCATCCCACATCCAGAGCCCCAGCAGGATCTGCACCTTCCAGCTGCTCAGCAGAAGCTCTTGTTAGGTTCAAAAGGGAAAAAAAGCCCCACTAATGAGGCTGTTAGAAACCCAGGCACTGGGAGCAGCAAGGGGGGGCTTGGGGTGGCCAGCGGGGCCAGTGAGCCTGCCTACATCTCGCTTCCCTCCAGGCAAGAGATGCAGCTTAATTAACGTGGACAAACGTCCTCAACAATGAAGTCCTCTAATGGCAAGAGGGCCTCAGAGAGCAGGGATGTTGCTGCCTGCCCTGGCCGCTCTCAGGAGCTGCCAGCCTGCCGTGCTGCCTGCACCACCACCTGTCTGGGACAGTGCCCCAGCTGTGGGGACACTCAGCAAGAAGAGGGACAAGTGCCCTTGTGAGCTTGGACCAGAGTGCTGTCTCCACCACCTGCCCCAGCTTCCTCCACCCCACAGCCATGGGGATGTGGGGACCCAGGGGCCAGCAGATGGGGACTCATTAAATCTCAGCGTGTGCGTGGGCGGTGCCCTGACAGCCCCTGGGACTCAGTTGGCCCTGCTGGCTGCCTGCATCCTCAGGGGATGCTCTGCTCCCTGCCTGAGCCAGCTCCTGCAGAGCTGCAGGTTCTGGGGACTGAGCTTCACCCCACCCAGCTGACAGACTGGTCCAAGGCTCCAGGTGCCCATTACCATAGGGTCGTTGAGGACATGGGGTGGTGGCCCCCTGCACCCACCCTGCCCCAGCCAGCATCTCTATTGCCAAGCCCTACAGAGGTGGGGGTTCCCTTGCAGGGGACCACCTCTCTCGGGATGGGTTTGGGGGGCAGAGGGGATGGTGCCCCTTCATGCTGGGCAGCCCTGCCTGCTGGGAGCAGTGTCCTCATGCCCCCACTGCAGCGTCCCTGGCATCATTCTTACATCAGGAATGTCACTGCCATGCTGGGGGAGGCCCTGCACGTGGCCACCACCTGTCCCACAGGGGACAGGACCCATGGGGCTGGAAGTGACCAAACCCTGCTCCTGCACCATAGTGGCCCTGGGGACAACCAAACACTTGGTGCCAGGGCACTGCAGCAGCTGCATCCCAAGACGTGTCAGGCCAGGGACCCGTGCTGTCACTCCCAGGAGGTGGCTTGCACCATACAGGCAAAGGACACAGCAGTATGCTGGAGCTGAGGACAGCATGGACCTCAGCATAGAAGCTGTCCTGGGCTGAGGATCTGTGCCTGCCACCACAACCCCAGGAGGGGAATAAATCCCTGTCCCCATGCAAGATGATGGATCAACTGGCTCAGCTCCCATGGCTTTTAGTGGGTGAGGGGCACCCTGCAGCTCCGAGGGAACCCCAGGCACCATCAGGGCTACAGCACCCCCATGGCAGCAGATAAATGCTGCAGTAAAATGCTGCATGGCAGCATCCAAATGCCAGTCTGGCCTTCCCCTCCTGTTGCAGGAAGGAGCAAAACATCACTGAGAGGGATGCAAGAGCATCCCTGTGCTGCACCAGCACACAGTCCCACTGGAGTTTTAGCCACCCCACCACTGTTTCTGCTGACCCCCAGTCCCATCGAGTCCCTCTTCTGGGGGGGTACCTGGATGGAAACGTCACTGTAGGAGCCTCCAATGACACCAGTGATGGCTGTGGGCACATCGTCATGGATGGCGTAGGACCCGTCGGGGCAGATGTGCTCGGAGCCGTCCACCTTGGTGAGGGAGGCACGGACAAAGTCGAGGGACTGCTCGAGGGCATAGGTGTCCTTGGAACAGGTGTCAAGGATGTGGGCGCCCAGCCTCACCCCCGGCAGGATGCTCCCATCCTTGTTGATCTCATCCAGGGCGAAGAGCATGGCCTCCAGGCGCTGGATGCCCCGGTGCTCGTTGATCTTGCCGCAGTCTTCACTCCCCACTCCTTTCTCATGGACAGGGAAGAGGCCTCCGATCACCAAGTCCCCATCTGTGCTGATCTCCTTCTTGCCAGCCATGCCATGCCCAGCAGCCAGGCAGGTGGCCAGGCGCACCAGCCACAGCCAGGCAGCCAAGGGGACCACCATGGGGTGTGCTGGTGCCAGCCGGGGGATCTGCATCACCCCGTGTCACCTGCTGCCACCCGTCAAGGCAAGGGCAGGCAGTTCCCAGGCATTGGGTGGCAGGGGGTGGCACAGTATGGTGTTGGTAGGAGGGTGGTTGTGCTGCTCCAGCAGAGCCCTCAGCACCTGGAAGAGTGAAGAGAAAAGCTGCTGGGTCTGTGGGCAGCCAGGTGAGCCACGGGCGAGCAGGGGCACGAGCCTGCCAGCGCCCTCCATCCCAGCACATCCTGAGGTGCCTGTAGGAAGGAGCTCCCAAGGAAGGGTGAGCTGTGACAGCTCCAGAAGTGACCTGGAACCACCAGGATGCCAACAAGTGACATGGATCCTGTGAGACAAATGGGTGCAGGGTCCAGCGCCCCCACAGAGCTCCCCGGATGCACTGGCACAGGCAGGGATAGCATAGAACTGGCAGCGCTGGGCATAGTAGCCTGCTTGGGGGGCAGCCCTAAAATACCTGGGGGCAAAAAGGAGCCAGGGAGATCACCCAGGGCAGGGAGCCTGGACTGGACTGGCAGAGCCAATGCCAGCTCTGAGCCGAGCCCCTGACCAAGGCAGTGGCACCAGGGGTGCCAGTGGCTCCCGACCTCCAGCCAAGAGTGCTGCCAAAACCAGACAGCCCTGAGCCCACCATGCCCACAGTGCCACTGTATTTAATCCCCATCCCAAACCTACCCAGAGCCCATCTGCCCTGCCATTGCCCCTGGCACAGGGGCTGGAGCAGGGACACAGGGACACATCAGTGGCTTCACCCTCCCGCAGCGACACGTGGAGCAGGCTCCGGCAGCCGTGGTGCTTCAGAGCCTGTTCTCTCACCACCGCCCCTTCCTTCCCCGTATACTAAATTCAGAGATTTCAGTAAAAGTAAGAGCCAGGTTTGCTGACTCCCTCTGCAGAAAGCACAGAGGCACGGGGGAATCAAAGGCTTTTGCAGCAGACAGGCCTTTTCTTTGGCAGGAGATGCAGTCCTTTCAGAGATCAGCTGTCTTTTCCCAAATCACAGGAGAGATTTGTTTCACATTTGAAGCTGACTACTGAAATCCCACAGGACCAGTGTTTTGGGGGCCATGGGAGCAGGAGATCCCCTGAGAGCCCAGAAATCACAAGCTGCTCTGGCACGGGAAGCTGCCGGTGCCACAGCGGGTCCCAGGGCTTTCCTGCAGCCCCGCAGAGCAGGGTGCCTGTGGGGGCACACAGGGTGGCAGGTTGATGCCGGAGGATGCTGACCCCCCTGCAGCCAGTACTGAGGCCACTCTCCCTAAGGAGGAGCAGGGCACTTCTTGATGGCCCTGTGGTGCCCCTGGGCAGGCGATGCCAGTGGCTGGAGGAGCCCTACAGCAAGGAGCTGGAGCTGGTAGGGATGCCCAGGGGGATGCGGGCAGCAGAGCTGGGAGTACAGGGAGTAATGGGGTGGGGTGCATGTTGACCTCCTCCTCCTCTGTGCCCCACGGTGCCTGTCCCTAGGTCCTGCCTGTCACGAGCCTCCAGCAACCTCGACACATCTCTTACGTGACTTCTCAAATTTGAAGTTTTGGGAAGAGGCTGAAGAGAGGTCTCTGCCTCATTTCAGGCAATGAATGCCTCTTGGGAAGCCAGGGTTTCCTCAAGCAGGAAAGAGGCCACAGGCACATGGATTGAGGGAGCCCATTAGAGGCAGGCTGAGCCTGGCAGAGGGGTTGAGCAGCACTGAGAGCCCAGCTCTTTGGGGTCCAGCCATTCTGGGGTAGCTGCTGGGACCTGTCAGATGAAGGGCACCTTCAGGCAAAGCTCTCCTGAAAGGACAAACCACCCACCATGCACTGAGCATGGAAGGGCACTGAGCAGGGCTGCAGCCATCCTCACAGGTGCTCAGCTGGGTTGGCATGGTGCTGGGGGGAGGACAGCCCTATGGGGATATCTGGAGAACATCTGTGGAAGTGAAGCACCTGGCAGGGCAGAGCCAAGTCTAGCTTGATGGCCATGGTGCAGCAGGAAATCTTCTGCTGGCTGCTGGCAGCCTCCCATCCCAAAACCCTCTGCAAGAAGGATGAGTGAGAAGGTGCTGTATCTCCTACATGCCCCAAGCACTTTCCACCCACCTCCTGCTGGGAGACCTGACCCCTTCCAACACCAGCACCCTTAGAGGTGGCACAGGTTGCGTGTGAGAGGAGCCATGCTGGGAGGGCACAGCATGAGCCCAGTTTGCACCAGCTGCCATCGCCACCTTCCCTTGGGGTGCCCAAAGGTCCTAACACCACTGAGATCTGCCGGGACCCCTGCACCCCCATTCTGCCCCATGGCCTGCGAGTCCCAGTGTCCCGTGGAGCCAAAGTGCCTTCCCCGGGTGCTCAGCCCATTGCCCCCTGCCACCACGGCCACTCAGCAGCTCTTGCCCAGCCTGGTGGGGGCAGAGGGGGGCAGGGAAGCGAAAGCGAGAGGAGCTGGCACATCCCTGGCCCAGTGCCCTGCAGCAAGGTGAGCGAGGAGGGTCCCCACCCCGTGCAGCTCCCCGGGGGGCTGCAGGCACAGGCTTGGCAGAAACAACCCAAATTCCAGCCCAAACCTGCCCTGGGGTCTGGCTGTCCGGCAGCCGCCGCAAGCCACTGTTCTCCCTGGCTCCGGGTAGCCAG